TGGAAAATTTCATAATAGACTAAAGTTGCAAATGAGTACGCACAAGACCTCACTTTGGACGAGCATATCTACATATATATAAGGATTTATGTGAGGCACAACCTATCAAATTAAAGCTCTATGAGTCTAGTTTCCAGAAAATCAAACTGTTTGTCATTTGGAGGTGTATACAGAAAGTTATGACTATTTTACCGGACTTGTGTCATATGCGCGCCCAGGTGCGCGGCCAGATGCACGACCGCGTATATTCGAAATGTTTCTGCCTGTGAGCGCGGCTGTAGCACGGCCAGATGAGCGACCGCGCTAGTAAAACTCGCTATAGTACCCCTGGACAGTGTATAAACTGAAGGGGTCCAAAATTTCTTTCATTTTTGGTCATTCAAGCACGGATTTGGGTGATTCCAAAGGATTTTTTCACGATTTCGACTTGGGTAAGTGTTCTATATCCGGAAGTGATTACATTTCATAAATCTTTATCAATATTCATCGTTTATTTCGGATTTGGACGAAAGAAATTGAAGTTTTTTTTGTAAAACTTTCAAAAAATGAAAATTTAGGATTTGAAGGTCCATTTGATATCAGAATTCGATAATTTTTGTATGGTTGACTTGTATCGGAATGGGTTGTTGGATTTTATGAGTTTCGTCGCATTCCGAGATGTGGGCCCCACGGGCAATTTTGAGCTAAATTTCAGATTTTAATTTGGAAAATGTGTAAATTCATATGGATTTAATTCGTACAAATTATATTGAGTATATTGAATTATTATGACTAGATTTGAAGCTTCGGACGAATTCGCGAGACAAAGGCTTGTTGGAATTTTGAATTGGTTGCAAAGCGAGGTAAGTATTTGGTCTAACCTTAGCTTGAGGGAATAGGATTTGAGTCTTATTTGCCACTTGCTATTTGTCGAGTACGATGTATAGGCATGGTGACGAGTATCTATACGTTAGTGTCTCGCATGATTGTGAGTCTTTATATTGCGAATATTCTAATTTTGTCGTATCTTCCATGCTTAATGATGATTTCTATATGTTGTAAGGAGCATGTGAAAGAAANGATATTAAAATTTCGAGGAGCATTGGCTCAAGTTATAATACGAATTGAGAAAGTATATGAGATAATTGAACCCTTTGGAGCAATGGCTCAAGTGGTCGAGTAAGTGATGAAATGAAAGTGAAAGAAAGAGAAAGGATTATTAAAATGTACCCTTGCCGGGTAATTGTTGCTTTATTGATCATCTCCCTTACCAGAATCTCTATTATTAGTTGTCTACTCGCTTGCCCCTTTGTTTGTGATTGTTGTTTGGATGAGGAAGAGTGTTAAAGCACGAAGGGTGATGCCGTGCATTGTTTGCTATTGTGAGGAAAGAGTGTAAAGCACGAAAGGTGATGTCGTGCCGTACGATGTACCATTCCGTACCGATATCCATTGATTTTATTGTGAGGAAAGAGAGTAAAAGCACGAAGGGTGATGCCGTGCACATGATTATGATATGATTGATTTGGTAAGAACGAGAGTAAAAGCACGAAGGGTGATGCCGTGCACAGTATTATTATAAATATTGCTTGGGTGAGGATGAGAGTAAAAGAACGAAGTGTGATGCCGTGCAAACTGTTGACTTTTGATACTTGTTGATATTCAGACTTCGATGTTTCCTTCTTTTATTAAGGATTTCTAATTGCAACTGTTGCCTTCCCGCAACATGTTTTTTTCCCTTCCACCTTGACTGGTTAATTCCTGTATTTCTTTAACGTTGTACATGTATATATAATTCAACTGCACAGGTTACTTGGTAGTCTGGTCCTAGCCTCGTCACTACTTCGCCGAGGTTAGGCTAGGCACTTACCAGCACATAGGGTCGGTTGTGCTGATACTATACTCTGTGCTCTTTTGCACAGATCTAGGTTTCGGACAACAACAGTAGAGTAGGAGTTAGAACTCAGAATAGCGAGACACCGAGGTAGCCTTGCAGGCGTCCGCAGGCCCGACGTCTCCTCTATCTTTTATTTCAGCCTGTTATATCACGTATTCAAGACAAACAGTTTATATTTTGTTTCAGACGGTTGTATTTAGTACTCTTAGAAGTTCGTAAGTAATGTGACACCAGTTCTTGGGTAGAGGTATATGTTGATTTCCGTACTACTGTTCCGTTTCTTTAATTTAAGTCTTCCGCATATTTATTTAATTCCGTTGTTTTCATTATATTACTGATAATTGTTAAAGAAGTAAGCAGTTAAGGATTGGCTTGCCTAGCTCTCATTAGTAGGTGCCATCACGACTCCTGAGGGTGGGAAATCCGGGTCGTGACACAAGGGTTGTAAATATACATGGTCTAACCATAGAAAAAAATCAAAGGATTTAATTATGGAACGACTAGATAGGATCTTTGTCAACAAAGATTGGATTGACTTATACCCTAAGTCCATGGTCATTCATCTTCCAAAAACTCATTCCGATCATAATCCTCTACTAATAAACCTAAACCCTAGGAATGGGAACAGTAGAGATAAGCCTTTTCGATTAGAAACTATTTGGTATAGGCATCCAGACTTCATTAATATTTTCAAACAATGTTGCTTAGTTAATGCCCAAAATTACTTTACTAAGGAGGTTATAAATTGGAAAAATACTACGTTTGGGGATATCTTTAAAAAAAAGAGGCAAATCCTAGCTAGACTAAATGGTATCCAATCTTCTCCTCATTACCAAAGTAGTCACTTCCTTCAAAATCTTGAGTCCACCCTCCAATTAGAATATAACAATATCCTTCATATGGAACATGACTTTTGGAAATTAAGATCTAGGAGAAATTGGCTAAATGATGGTGATGCCAATACAAAATTTTTTCATATTATGGCTTCCAATCGTAAACGTCGCAATGTCATTATGTACTTCACCAATTATAATGGAGAATGGATCACTGACCCAAAACAAATATTAGATCATACTTTTTCCTACTTTAGAGAGGCCTTTCAAACTGCAAAGATTACCTCCCCAATAAATAATTCTATCTCGGATCCTTCAAATGTCAATAAGCCTGACCTGAGTTGTCTAGACTACCCTCTTACCAATATAGAAATCAATAAGGCTATTTTTTCTTTTAAACCTTTTAAGGCTCCAGGTCCGGATGGCATCCATCCTTTTTTCTATCAAAAATATTGGCACATATTAGGAAACTCTTTCACTTCTTATTGTCACCAAGTTTTCTCCTCTCAATCCCTACCTAGTGGCATCAATGATACATACTTATGTCTCATTCCTAAATTCTCTAATGCTAACAATCTTAAAAACTTTAGACCTATTGGATTGTGCAATACTGCCTACAAGGTTATCACTAAAATCATCGCTAATAGAATGAAGCCTTTCATACCCCTCCTTATTAGTCCTATGTAATCAAGCTTTATTAAAAATAGAAGAACTAGTGATAATGCTATAATAATTCAGGAGATTATGAATAGACTTAGACGTTAAAAAAAAATTAATTTTGATATGCTCATTAAACTGGATCTAGAGAAGGCCTTCAATAGGCTAGAATGGTCTTTTATTCATAAGACTCTTGTTTAGTTCAAATTTCCTCCTAAGATTACTAGGCTCATTATGCATTGTATAACTACTAGCTCAATAGTTGTTTTAGTCAATGGGACAAGAACAAACTTCTTCCAACCTAGTAGGGGTATTCGTCAAGGTGATCCTCTCTCCCCCTACATTTTCATATTATGTGTTGAACTTCTTTCTAGACTTATTAATCACCAAGTTGACCTTAGAAATTGGGATCCCATCCAAATTGGCCATAGGGGCCCTTCCTTGTCCCATATCCTTTTCGCGGATGACTTAACTCTTATGGGAAAACCAAATAAAAATACTAGCCTTTGCATAACAAGATGCATGGATTTTTTCTCTATGGAATCTGGACTAGCCATAAACAAAACTAAGTCCAGAATTGTCATTCCACCAGCTTGCTCAAAAGATCAATCAAACTTCCTAATTTCTCTTTTTGGCATTAAATCTACTACTGAGTTTGGTAAATACCTTGGCTTCCCAATCCTTAGTAAATACCCTAAAACCAAGATCTTGGACAAGTTACATTCCAGACTATTTCACTGGAAATGCTCATTTCTCAATATGGCTGGGCGTACCACCCTAGCAACAAGTACTATAGGAGCAATCCCCTCGCACATAATGCAATACACTCTCCTTCCACCCAAAACACTAAATTCCATTGATAAAATACAAAGGGATTTTATCTGGGGCTCTACAAGTACTACAAAAAAGCTTCATCTAATAAGTTGGGATATCGTCCCCAAGGATCTAAAAGAGGGTGGTTTGAGTATTCATAAGGCAAAAGAGAAAAACTTGGTTATCCTTTCAGGCCTTGTATGGAGACTCTTAAAAAATCCTTCCACTTCATGGTGTCATCTCATCATGTCCAAATATGCTCATTCAAAGTCATTTGCAACAAAGGAATCCTTTGGCACCCCTCAAATAATTCTCGTTTGAATATTTGGTACAACAATTGGATTTATAATTCCTCCTCCCTTAGAAGCTATGTTGAGGGCCCCCTTAGCAAAAATGAGTGTAAACTTTCTCTAAGATCTTAATTAAAGATAATAATTGGGACATAAAGTCAATATCCTTTGAATTACCTCCTGAAGTGATCCACAATATTAGTATTACTCCTACTCCCTCTAATAATTCCAAAAGTGATGAATTTAGCTGGAAACTAAGCTCATATGGCATTTTCTCTACAAAACTTGCTATAATCTCCTCACTAATCCTTATCCCCCTTCAAATTCCTATAAATGGATATGGGACCTTCGTTTTCCTAACAAAATTAAATCTTTCTCTGGAAATGCTCTCAAAATCGTGTTCTATGTAGAGCCTATCTACATAAAATTGGTATGAACATTGATGCCACATGAACTACATGTAGAATTGGCATTGAAAACATCCAACACATTTTCTTGCACTGTACTTCCACCCAACAATTCTGGAAATCCATGGGTATCAACTACCATAACACTACTGGCAATGTTAACTGGCTCAGGGACTTTCGTGATGCCTTCATCAATCAAAATTCTAATAACATTGGTTGGGAAAATCTCTTCCCATGCTGCATATGGGAACTATGGAAAAACAGAAATAACAACAACATAACTAACCTTAGTTGCTCTTTGGACGTGAAAAAACCCATGCACTTTGCATGGGAATATATCTTCTTTACAGGAAAAAACCCTTTCACTACCAAAAATATTTCTATTGAGATCAAGTGGTATAAACCGCCAAAAAATATTATTAAACTAAACTGTGATGGTGCTTTCTCTTTTACTAACAATGCAGCAGGAATTGGTGGATTATTCCGTAATAGCAGTGGTGATTGGATTATGGGATACCATAAAGCAATACATGGCTCCTCTCCAATTCAAGCAGAATTATTGGCCCTACTCGAAGGACTAAGAATTGCAATGGAGTTTAATGATACAAATATGGAAATTGAAACTGATAGCACTGACGTTATAAAACTAATGCATGAAGATTGTACTAATTTCCGTAACATTATATTTGAATGCAGATGGTTAATACACCAACTGAGGCTCCGAATACTGAAGCACAATTTTAGAGAAGGAAATGATATGGCTCATCGACTGGCTAAAGAAGCAATGAGACATCCTCCCAGTAACAAATGTGTTTATCATGCTTGTCCGCCTTTTTTTTGCTGAAGAAGAAGTTCAAAAGAACAAGCATGAACTTTGTAATAGTATAAAAACTATCTCTACTGATGTTTGCACTTACCTAGCAAGTATGGGCAATGGTAATGCCCTAGAGACTATGTCTTTCTCTTGTAATTTGTTTTAAGTAATATAAGTATCGTGCTTTTATGTTCAAAAAAACAAAAGTGTTGCAATGCAACTCATGTTCGCAATTGCGATGTCCGAAAATGAGAACCACTGACCGCGAATCTGGTCAGTGTCACGGTCCCACATATGATGCAAATGCGACTAATCCTTCTCATTTGCGAAGGACCCCTTTCATCGGAAATGCGGACTAAGTTTCACATTTGTGAAGCTTTTTGTCCCTTGCTAAACGTCGCAAATGTGACCACCCTCCTTGTTCACAATTGCGACCCTATCTTCGCATTTGTGAAGTCTTAAATACCAACCCAATTTTGCCTTTGTAAGCTTGACATTACAAATGCGAGGCTCGCAATTGCGATCAGTTTCTCCCAAATGCGAGACCTGCAGGTTCACACTCGCAACTACTTTGCTTCAACAGTTGCAAAATCAACCAAAACACACCTGAAACTGATCCGAGCCTCTCGGGCTCAAATCCAAACATCAACACAAGTGTAATAATATCATACGAACTCGCTCATTACCTCGAATCATCAAAATAACATCAAATATCAAGAATCGATTATTAAAACTCAAGATTTTTCAACTTGAAACTCAATTTTTGCCAATTTTCACATAATGTGCCAAAATGCCATCAAGTCACCCAGGACCCATAAAAATATGTGTACAAGTCCAAAAATATTGTATAAACCTACCAAAATTGGAAAATAATGATCCGAGATCACTTACCAAAAACGTTGACTATGGTAAACTCAAACCTCATTTTAAGTCAAAAATCACATTTTCTTTAAAATTCACATAATAGAAGATGGAGATAGTACACAAAACGACCTATCGATTTGTCACACCTATTGAATTCGAATTCTAAACTTTTGCTAGGACAGGGGAGCCGCTTAACAATCCTGCAAGATATAAGAAGCTGGTTGGTAAATTAAAGTACCTCACAATAACTAGATTTGGCATTTCCTTTTTGTGAGTGTTATGAGTCAGTTTATAGATAGTTATTTGTCATGACCCAATTCCCATCATAGATCATAATGGATCCCAACGCTACCGTTAGGCAAGCCAACAATTAATTGACATGCTGATCGATAGTTTATAACACATTTTAGTACAAGTGATGAAATAAATAAGCAGAATCATTTTATTTTCATAGAGGAATACTGATATTATCTTAAATGTTCAAACATGGTCGAAATATAAAATCAAATATCATAATAGAAAAGAAACCAAGAAAAAACATCTAAATTTCCAAAACTCGGTGTTACAAGTGCATTAGCATCTACTGAAATAAAAATTAATATTCCAGCGACTGTCTAGAATAGAAAATAGATAGAATAAGGTAAATGAATGGGAAGGAGACACTGTGTGTTGCTGATCGTAACATAGGGAGCAGTACACCACAAAGTCTCCTCAGCAATTGCGCCCACGCGCCCATGTGACCACCAAATGTACCTATCCCAGTACTTTCACAATTAGTGCAGAAGTAGTATGAGTACATAAATCAACGCGTAACCAGTAAGTATCTAGTTTAACCTCGAAGAAGCAATGTCGAGGGGTCGACATAAACACATACTAGTATTCCAATAATCAAAGTACAATAAAAGTAGACAGGTATGAATCATAGCAAATAAAAGCAACAAAAACAGATATATGTGTATAACACGATCCTCAACAGAAGAATAAATAAAAAATCCTCAAATACCAAAAACAACGTCGAATGAAATATTTATGACAAATGTCGGGTGTAAACGTCAAAAAGTCAGAGTCAGGATACTCATATATACACTGACTCCCTATTGAAATAATATGCATGATTCTGCCGAGGCGAACATCCATATCCCATAAGAGTGATACTACAATATCCCGTCGTGGTCGTATCGCCCACTCCAATAATATTACAGAGGTCATACAACCCAATCTATAGATGCATCTCATAATACCTCTGTGGTCGTAAGACCCGATCTGTAGTGATATTTTATAATACTGTTGAGATCGTATGACCTGATCCATAAAAATAGTGTTGAGGCATTCAACCCGATCCCATAAGAATAGTAAAATATTTAATGGGTCATCAACCCAACTAAGAGAATATATGTGCGAGTTATGAAATCAAGAAATTTTCATACAAATAAGCACATCGCGGGAGTAATTTGTAAGAGATAGTATAATTTTTCTTGGCTAATATAGTAGGCACCACATTTCTGAAATAGTAAGGCTCGATACTTTATGAAATTTTAGTCTCAGGCTAATACATAAATTAAAGAATTTAAACATGTAAGAATAACTCAAGTAGTACAGTTAAAGTATGGTGTGAGTTTAAGTCTACCCGGTCAAATCAAGAATTTAGCACACGTATGGACACTCGTCACCTAATACGTGCATAGCTCCCATAACACATAACACGTAGCAAGTATAGTACCTTTGGGGTATTTCCTCTTACAAGGTTAGACATGAGACTTACCTTGCTCCGAAATTTGATAATCGGCTCCAACGCCTCTCTAACACCTCAAACCAATGCCAAACGATCTGTAACTTGCCAAAGAACGTGCAAACTAATAAAAATATACTCAAGACTCGTAATTTAACAATTAAAAACAATTCCTCAACCCAACATGAAAGTCAATAAAAGTCAACCTCGGAACCACGCGTCTGGATTCCAAAAATTCTCGAGAAAATAAATATTACCCATAGCACCACAACTCAGATATATAATTTATTTCCAATTTCATTCCCAGTTTCGTGGTCAAAAAAATATCATTTCTAGGTTTTCTTCCAGAAATTCCATAATATTTACTAATTTCCATGTTTAAATCCATATATAATCCATGTTTGGCTCATAATAAGTAGGAACCATTTACCTTGTGATAGATGATGAAAGGGGCCTTCCAAAATCGCCCAAAAATTGGATCCAAGTTAGAGAAATAATATGAAATGAGTTAAGTCCTAATTTTGCAACCTATACACTGCCCCATTTGATCCTCTTCGTGATCGCAAAAGCACACTTGCGATCGCGATGGCCAAATCTGCAACTGCCAAAATACCTTTCTATACGAACGCAAGGGACCACCCGCAATTGCGAACCTAAGCCGGCCAACCCTACTCGAACGCAAGCCTAGATCCGCGAATGCGATGGCCAATCCTTCAAGTCTCAAAACCTTTTCCTACGCGATCATGAATGACCTCACTCGATCACGATGAGCAACCTTCTAATCCAGGCCAACACCACTAACTCATCACGTTTGCAACCCTCACAACGCAAACACAAAGAACAACCAGACCACCAAACGCGATCACGAAGAACAATTCTTCTCTAGCTCCACACAACACTTCGCGATCGCGAGACGTTCTCGTGATCGCGATGATAACACTAACACCAGAAACAAGCAACTGTAAGTCAAAGGGAAATGGTCTAAAATAATCTCGAAACACACCCGAGGCCCCCCCGAACCCCGTCCGATCAAACCAACAATTCCCCATACCTTATCCAAACTTATCCAAGGGCTCCAAATGCCATGAATAACATCAAAACGAAGGATCGACAATCAAAATCCTTCTCCTAACTTTCAAATCTTCAAACTTTGTAAAATGCATCCAAATCACGCGTAACTATTCCAGATTACGACCACATAAGTTCCAATCAACTAAATGAACTTATTCACGATCCACGAACACCACCTTGAGTCCATTAACGCTAAAGTCCACTCCAAGTCAATCTTGGCCAATTCAAGAACCTTCAAAATACAAACTTTCGACAATAAGCATTGAATCGCTCCCGGACCACCCAATACTCAGTCCGAACATAAGTCAAAATCCGAAAATAGCTTACAACCTATAGGAACCTTGAAGTCCCAATTCTGAGGTCGTTTACTGAAAAGTCAAACCTTGGTCAACCCTTCCAACTTAAAGCTTCCAAAGAGAGAATTATTCTTCCAAATCAACTCTGACCCTCTCAAAAATTGAAACCAACCACATATGAGAGTCATAATGCCTAATGTGAAGCTACTCAAGATCTCAAATCATCGAACAACATGCTAAAACTCAAAATGACGGGTCGGGTCATTACATTTTGTCCCGCTTAAACCTACATTTGTCCTCGAACGTGCCAAGAGTCGTTCTCAAGCTGCCGAATTACTGTATAACTCATAATGCACATACTCGCGCCACCTCACTCCATACAAGCACATTACCAAACCTCTAACTAAAGATCTTTCCTATGACCTTAGCCCACAAGCCTTAGAACCAAATTCCAACATCCGAAATTCCCTATAAGGTCTGAATTTTGCATACATGCACTATATCAATCACAACGAACCATAATAAAGCATAATTATACACATAAGATGTAATCACACTATCACGCCCCAAAACCGAGGAGCATGACCGACGATCTACCGAGTAAACCTGACTGAGTAAGCCTGTTAGGTTTCATTCTACCCAAACTATTCATGAATAAAGAGGAGATGAACTCCATCTATCATACTTTGTAAACATTTCATTAACAACTTCTATTTTGTTTCCGTTAGCAGTTTCAACCATAATATCCAAAATATTACAATTTTTATGGAAGTGAAGAAAAAATATATTTGTCAAATACAAATATTTTTAATTTAATATCTAATACCAAACACCACCCACAACCTGTCTACGGAGCCTCTAAATACAATTGAAGGGGAATATGGAAATGCCGGCAACAAGGCTCCAGCTATACCTCAAAATATAAAGTACATGATAAACAATGATACATGACTCAGAAATGAAGTGGGGCTCACCAAGTCGGCTAAAAAGAGGATGCGCCACCAGCTGCAACCAACACTATATGCTATGGAACCACCTACATCCATTTAAAGATGTAGCGCCCCTGACAA